CTATGGCCTGTCCTTGGTCCATACCCTAGAGTACTTCCTAGTTACTTCCTAGCAACCGTTAATCAAAGATTAGTCTGTTTCAGATGTACTTTCAGACTATTTGTGATTGTGATTGTGTATGCTCTTGCTTCAGAGTAACTGTCAGCTTACAATAGACATTCAATTAGATACTTGCCAGATGGATACCCCCTCCCTTGCTTGTCATTTCCTATAAAACCTTGTCATGATGAGGATTTGGGGCTGCTTCATCATGTGTCAGCCATAAACCAAACTCAAGTTTATAATAAAGAGACCCTAATATGATTACATCAAAAATGGTGCCTTGGTGGTCTTTTGGGGTTCACAAATGCTTCCTGGTACAACATCTGTAGTTCCCTGCACTTGGGAAGGAGACGTAAGAGAATTACTAGAAGTTCAAGATCAGACTGGTCTATATGGTGAATTCCAGAGCAGTCAAGGTGTTATGTGAATTTTTACTGAGAAAATTTGGACAAATGTATTCTCACCAAATGGGGTGCCCAAAACAAAGAAACAATGCCACCTTAGGTTGGTGACACAGTGAGTTTTGTTGTGGTCACTTATGAGCAGTTATACCACTGAAGAAAGTGTCTTACACAACTATTATGTGTCTGTAAGTCCTTGAGGAGAAGTATAGCTCATAAGCACCCCCCACCCCTACTTTGTCTCCAAGATGGAAAGTTAATATTCCCACAGCTCCTAACAGGTCAAAAGGACAATGGCTATAACACGTTCAGAGGGAAGCATTCTATAACAGAGGGTCACATAGCTAGATCATGTCTCAAAAGCAAACAAACAAAAACCTGATGTTCATGTGTTGCATGAATATATTGCATTAAAGAACTCACCTACATGAATTTTGAAATAAATGACTTAAAAGGCCAGCACTCTAGAGACACAACTCAGTTGGTAGAATGCCTACTAGCGTGTCAAAGGCCCTGACTTAGTTGCCCAGCACTATATAAAGCCATTGAGGTGGTACAAGCCTGTGATCCTAGGCCTTGAGAGATTTAGATAGGTAGATCAGAAGTTCAAGGTCTACCTGGATTAAATTAGCAAAGTCAGGACCAGCCTAGACTCTGTGGAGAGCTAACTAAAAACCAACAGAAGAGAAACAACAATGTCAGAAGAGTCAACAGACCTTAAACCTCAACTGGAAAACAGAGATATTTATACTATGACTCAGAACCGTAACAAAATTATAGTTATAGAGTAGCAATGGAAATAATTTCATGATTGGGGGTTACCACAAAGTGAGGAACTGTATTGAAGAGTTGCAGCATTAGGAAGGTTGAGAACCACTGGAAAGGGTCATTTTTGCTCCAAGGTGCCCTCTGTGTGAAACTAAGGCAGCCTATCTCTAGACCTTCCTCTTCTATTTAGTCTCTGTAAACAGACCGGGTTCTCTCCTGGATTTCAAACATCACAGTCTTCAGGATCCTGTTTAAAAGATCAAAAATAATTGACCTGTATGCTACACTCTCTCTCAGTATGCTTCACAGCATTCTAAACAATGGTGAAAGGCAGCCATGTTTTTCCCCCTTTGAAATTTTTTACTAAAGTACAATTTACATACAGAAATTGAACATAGACATTTCCAGCCCATTGCATTTTCAGAGACTGTACAATAGATGCAAGCTGTGCCAGACAAAAACAGAGCAGTCCCAGCACCTCTGAGGAGACAGCACATTTCACAGTTTCTCTTTAAAGTACCTCATAAAAACGTAACTGTGGCTAGCAGGTCTTCAGACCTATTCAGAAGAAACACAAACTCCTCCACTGCTAACTTGAGAGTCCCAAGCTCAAGGGAATAAAACAATTTTCAACTTTTAAAGTCTAGTGTGCAGTGTGGCTCTCCATGTTTACACTGCTGAAAACTGGCTTTTGATTGTGTTCATTAAGAAAAAAACTCATTATAAAAATAACCAGCATAGAGTAAGAGTAACATGAATCCCTCTAGCTTAGCCAGAGGGTCTTCTGGTTTCTTCTAGGGGAAAATTGGGTTGGGATAATATCTCAAATCATCCGTCTGGTCCCTCCCTGTGTGTTTTCTGAAGCTCTTTTCTGATAGTTTACTCCAAGGACATTGGCTTCCTGGAGTGACAGAAACAAAGTGCCCTGGAAAACCAAATAAGACTCTCTTCTGTAAACAGGTTTGAAAAACTAGCAACTAAATCTAGGAAGACAGGGAAGATTGGGACAGAACTGGGGACTTAAAGTAGAGGGACACACACTGAAGGGACAAGAAAGGGATCTGAGAAAGAAACAAGATTGAACTCTTACAAGGGTTCTTCCTCTACCACGGGCCTCTCACCACACATATGTGCATACTGCCAACACACACACACACACACACACACACACACACACACACTCCAACACACCTCAGACTCTTGTCTCTCCAGAGTACACTGCATTGACTTTCCATACTGAGGGAGGGCAGGGAGTCAGACACTTTGTAAGAGGTCCCTGAAAGCATAAGAGGGACTCTACAGTGAGTGGAAGGAGACAAGGGAAGCATGGCCAAAGTGGTAATGAGGTCTGAATATGAGCAAAGTATAAATGCACACATGCATTAAAATGCCATAATGAAGCCCATTGTTTTGTATACTAATCAAAATACTAATATAATTCTTTAAGACATGTTTATTTAATATGTATGAGTGTTTCATTTGCATGTATCTATGTACACTAACTGTGTTTTTGGTACCCAGGGAGAACAGAAGAGGGCATTGGATTCCCTGGAACTGGAGTTACAGATGGTTGTGAGCTACCATGTAGGATCTGGGAATTGAACCCAGGTCCTCTGCAAGAGCTGCAAGTGCACATAACTACTGAGCCCTTAATCCACTCTTGAATATAGTTCTTTAAAAGAAATTCTCCTCATCAAACTGAAGCCTAACAAATCTTGGTAGAGGAGGCTTTCCCTTTACACTAAGACCTATAAAACCACCATGTCTAACATAACACTGCAAAAGAACGGCAGCTTTGAACATTATAATCACCCTTTTTGAACTGGAAGGAAAGAATGAGAATGTAAAATAAAAATCAATGACAAAGATTCTCAAAATGTTTCCAGAAAATTTCCTAATATATAAGAAGAAATAAATAGAATTAGGCTTACTGTGGTAACTCATGCATACAATCTCAACACCAGGAAGCTGAGGGAGGAGATAATCCACAAATTAAAGACCAGACTGGGCAACATCCTGAGTTCCAGACCACCCTGGGCGACAGTCTTGTCTGAAAATTAAAAAAAAAAAGAAACTAAATTAGAATTATAGGCTCAAAACAAGAGTTATGAAGTGGCATGATCTCGTCTGTTGCCTGGGAGGGTTTCTGGGATGAGCACCCAGAGGGCTGCATGGGGAAGGAGGCAAGGCAGGCAATCAACGAAACTGGAATTCCTTTGTCAGCACTGTAAGAAATGGGTAGCAGTCTGGCTGGTGTGTTGACTGTCAGAATACAAGAGGATGAATAATTGACAGCTATGGTGTTGAAGGAGATTATGTTCTCTGAGCAAGTACACGCCTTTGAGGCAGACATTTCTACCTCACTTTACTCAGGAGACTGAGGCACAGATTAAGGGCCTACCTTAGGGTAGTCAGTAGGTAGGTAGAGAGCCACAGATGGAGCCTGGGATGCTTGTTTCAAAGTCTCTGTCCTTCACTTTTGTACCTGGGTAACCAGAAAGAGATGTGCCACAAACAGAATGAAATACAAGTTTCAGGCCACTCTTTTGCTTGAGGTCCTGGTAAGATCCTGACCCTATTGTACCATTTGCAATTTTATTAATATTGTTTGTCTTTTAAATGACATCCTTCACTTGCATAAGCTTCAGGCTTAAAAAAAAACAAAAACAAAAACAAAAAACAAAAAACAAAAAACAAAACCTTGTTCCCTACTAGAAGCCAATAGAAATCTATAATAGCACTTCCTAAACAACCCCCTCCTTTCTCTCTCTCTCTCTCTCTCTCTCTCTCTCTCTCTCTCTCTCACACACACACACACACACACACACACACACACACACAACCTATCCTTCCTCCTTCCCTCATACCTTGCAAGTACCAGGATGGCAGAAGGATGCCACTTTTGCCTGTTTGGCCAAAAGGACTTCTGTCAAACATAAAAATCTAATGTACAAGGTTTTTCTCTTTTCCTGACTTTTATATGACCATTTTCCCTTTTCATATATGCTCTAAATTTTTTGGTGCCGTGTTTTCCATATTGCACAGATATCCTGTGCTTCCTGACAACTTTCAGAAGGATTTTTTGAAGTGCTCTTTTGAAGAGCAGAGGAGAACCAACAAAATGCATTGTCCCCCACGAAGGCTTTGTCTTCTCACAAAATCCTTACACTAGACAGATTCTTCCCATGTTTCAGAAGAGTGAGTCAGATTCAGAGTTGAAATGCTTTGTGATAAATCTAATGTTTGCCAGGCAGTACATCTTAGAAGGTTGTTTGGCACAGGGTATGCATGTTTTCCCTTGTCTGCAGTCCTACCTCCCTCAGCAGGTGCGGAGAGATCCACCCAAAGGAGTACCACCTGGACACCACACCTATCCTTCTCTGAGGTAGGAATAGCTAGCACGCACCTTCCAGGGACTGAAGGACTTCTGCTCTTAGCAAGTATCAGATGTGTAGCCAGCACTCTCAACTAAACTCCAAACCACTCAGCACCCATTGCCTTGATACATTTATTGGCCAGACCTTTAGCTGCAGTAGGCTATAGAACATTGTAGGCTCTTAAGACCATACTAACATGAATGGTCTTGATGGTAACAAATATTAACAGCATCCTGAACTTGTAAGCTTTCCTGAGGATGTTTGCCAGGCCTTGTAGAAAAGTAGCTTTCCAGAGGAAGCTTAAGACTCAGCTGACAGAGGAGTTCATTTAAAAGGTGGCCACATAGGCAAAGCTATACATATTAGATAAGAATACAACCTGCAAGGGGCTAGGAAAGCAAATAAGCAGACTGAAAAAAAATGCCATATATTTATAAAACTGGCCTATGACATATTGACAGGTAAAAACAGATAGTGACAGTGCTATATGTTGAGTGGCCAGCACACACAGTGTAGCTCAGATAACCAACTGGGTTAAAGGCAGGGTATCATGTTTCTATTCTTGGTGTTGAATAGATATTTAATTGGCTCTTCATTGCAAAACTGGGTTTGTAAAAAGTCTTTGGGGAGGGAGGATTTTTTTTTCCAGGTAATCTGATGCGTGATGTCTTTAAATGCAGTAAACATCTTAGTGTCTAGGCTCCTCCTTGACCTTGTCTTTGATGAAGGATCAGGGCACATCCCTCAGACGTGGCAGATGATCAGAGGGTCTGTATTTGTCCCCTCATTTGGAAGACAAGGGGAAAAGATAGGTCTGAGCGCTTCGTGGAAAGAGGTTGGAGGGAAGCTGTAGATCAGGGACTCATCTGTCGCATTGTAGAAGGCTATGTGTCCAGAGTCATAGTCCAAGAACACACCAACTTTATGCACAGGCTCTCGGACATGTTGACCCTTCAGGGGCGATGAAACCCAGAGACTGTAGTCGTCGCCAATTTTTAAGCCTATGAGTGAGAAGAGGTCGCCAGGAGGCTTGGGGAGATTCCCTTTTCTGTTCACAGAGTCCTTACAGATACCCACTTCCCACTCCGTCTTCTTTCCCACTTCCACCTCCCAGTAGTGTCTCCCACATGTGAAGATCTGGGATCCCAACACAGTTGCAGACTGATCAAATCTCTCTGGGTTGTCAGGTAATTGCTGTCTAGTCCCTCCGTATCGCACACTCTTCAGATCATCGGACAAAAGCAGGTAAGCATTGGCCGTGGCTGGATCTAGAGTTATATCTGCTGCAAGAAGACATGAGAATGAATCTTTTGACATCCTTGGCAACCACTCATGTTTATTAATTTTAAGCTAAACTCTTAATAGATACTCCTATTATTATTTATTTGTTTACGAGACAGAATTCTAACCAAGAAGCCCAGGCTGGGCCTTAAACTTGGCAGTTCTCTTCCATGCTGAGATTTAAACATGACTACCAAGTCCATCTAGGCCTACTTTTTAACTTAGATATTAGGCAGGCAAACAACCCCAGTACTCATAAAAATAAAGTAATAGGATATGAGTTCAAAGCCAGCCTCGGCTGCATAGTGAGTGTGAGTCTGGACTACACAGCAATATCTGGCTTCAGAAACAAGATTGAAGCCAAACAGTTCTATGTAATAAATTCAAGAACAGCCTAGTTTATACTGTAAAATTCTATTTCAAAATGAATACAACTTTCAATTTAATTCAGTGCATTTGATAAGATAGCCTCCTTCAGAAAAAAAAAAGTCCACCTCTAACTGGGCTTAACATCTTATGTCACTAACTCCAATACTTAGGAACCTTAAACAGGTGGATTAAGATGAGTTTAAGGCTAGCCTGGGCTATGTCATAAGACCCTATCTCAAAATCAACAAATAGAACAGAGAACAGAATCTCTGAGCTTGGTTTTCACTACCCATGGAATAGACAGGGAAACTGTAAGAAGAGACAGAGTAGAGCCACATGAAGAGAGATTAGACACATCTGAGGATGAAAGGAAACTGTAAGTGTAATAAATGTCGTTTTCTAGACAGTTTTAGAATTCTGGTTATCTGTCTACACAAGGATGCCCTCGCTGGTAGCCATGGCAGGATTCCTGCAGTTCAGATAGCAGACAAACAGGTAATTAACATTTATTACATTCCGTCTAAGTGAACAGGCATTAATGTGTTTAATCATTGTTGCAACTATAATATTCTCATATTACATGCAACAATACATAGAGAGTAAACAAATAACATGTGCTAGAGAGAAGATTCTATAGTTAAAAGTACATGATGCTTCTCCAGAGGACTGCAGTTAGATTCCCAGCACTCATATCTGATGGCTCACAACTACCTAGAATACCACCTCCAGGAGATCTGACTAGACATTCTAGTTCCTTCATCTGCATGTACAGTGTGCATACACCCCTCTCCAAACAATGCACCTAGCAATCTCAGGACCCCTCTTCCCCAACACACATCAGGCTATATATACCTTCATTTTTGAATAATCATATCAGGCTATACATTACCCCCATCTTTGAACAATGATATGTTTCCCATCCCAGATTACAATCCAATTCAGTTTCCACTCAAATGTTTCCAAAGTATCTATTATATGACAAATAGAGAGGCCTTCCTCAAGCAAATTAGCATCAAAGACTAATACCCAAGGTTGTTCTCTGACCTCTATACCCATTGACAGGCACATACACCTACACTCATACTCTTGTACACACCCACACCATGATCACCCCCACCCCCACTGCCTGCCCATATACAGAGATTAAAACAAAAGAACTTAACCTAGCTTTTGTCCTAACGAGAAGAGAGCTGACAAAGCAGGATGCACTGCAAGAAGGTAATTGTGTGTGGTAGGTATGGTGTGTCCACATCACAGAACCCTTTGACAACAAGCAATGCCTGACAGAACATCAAACAAGGCTTCTTGTGTCTTGGCTCATGCATAAGGCATATTTGCGACTTGGTGCCTTAGCACTGGCTCTAGATACTGTAGCTGGGAGCCTCGTGTCAGAAGAATCTTGTCAGAAGAAGCTACCCAAGAACTCAGGGGTGCCCATAACATGTGCTGAACTTAACTATGGAAATCCCTAGAGATGCAACAAGAAGATGGACTTACTACTGAATTTTTTCAGCATCTCTCTCATCCCGGTGATGCGACACAGGCTCAATTCTGTGATGGTGGTCTCTGGACACTGAAACAACAGGGACTCATACCTTCCAAGAGAAAACAGAGCCTCATTCTCTCTGTGACACATACCACACAACCTGTTCCAACCTGTCAGTCCATAATATCTCTTCCCAGCAACATCCACATACTCTTCCCCACACCACCACTATTTCAGCAGCACCAGATCTCCATAAACTACACAATGGAGACCTAATAGAAACCTACCGATCCATGGCTCCTTTGACTTCCTAGGGATATAAAGAAAAGAAAGTTACTATGCATTCATCTCCATCACTAGCGAACAGTGAATCAATTCTCATCCCAATCTCATACGAGTTACATAGACTCTACTTCCATGATCCTAGCACATCTTGAGAGGCAGTAACAGGTAGGATAGGAGAGTAAAGCCTCGGCTTCTTCTAAGGATGGATTTTAATGAACATGAGATGTTTCTCGCTCTGACCAGAGAATAGTTTGTTCTATTTGCTCACACCCAAGCTTTTAATTAAAGCAAAAACAAAAACAAATCTTTTTTGTAGGGAGTAGGGAATGCACTTTGTCATAAAACAAATACAGAGGTGAAAGGAAAAATTAAAGGGAGGCTCTTCTTCAGGTCACATGGATCCAAGCCATGGACAGAATTCATATGGTCAGCCTTGACAGCAAGCACCTTTACCCACTAAGTGATCCCCTTTTTTTAATGTGTTTTAGCATATATTCATTGTGTATAATAATGGATTTCATCCTGAGAATTTCATATATGAATGTATTCTGATGTATTCATATATATTAATAATGTATTTTTGTGAATCTGTATATGCACATAATTTTGATCTTGTCCTCTTCCCAAACTGTCCACAGTTCTAATCACATGACCCTGTTTGTTTGATGACCCAAAGAGGTTAATTAGGGTTATTTATAGGAGCATGGGTAAGGGATTATTTACAGAGTATGGGCAGCTTACCGGTGGCTACATCACTAAAAAAAAAGTCTCCCCCCACCCCCAGCAATCACTAACTGCCTAGACATGCTCAGAGATAACTGGGGACTCCTAAGCCCTCCTTCCTTTAATATTTGAATATTTAATACCTGAGGTCAAACATTAACCTCATGTCCCAGGGAACCAGAGATGAGAAAAAAAAAAAGTGCCCAAATTAGACCGTACTCTTTATAGAGTCTGATCATGAATAGGAACTAAAGCAGAAGTTGGTCCTGTGTCTTATGACTGAGACAGTATTAATGATGCAGTAGCCTAGGGAGATAGTAGGCAAAGATGGAACTGTGGACTTGGCACACAGAACACATGGAGTCTTAGCTGTAGGACAATCAGGTTTCCTTAACAGCCATCAATCTTATTATTAAATATTTGCTACCCTAGGTCCCTTTTCTAGGTGATAATCACCTGTAGGCTACAGACACTAGTATTTAATCCATATCAGATCTTTGAAAAGATTAAATTGACTATGCCCGGTAGCTTACAAATAAATCATGAATTTCTAGACAAAGCTCTGTTTGCAGAAGCATGTCCAGAAGAAACTAGTCATCACGGGGCTCGTTTGTGAAATGTTTTTTGGTTTTTCTTTTCCTTGTTTGATTTCTCCTCCTTTTCAAGAATTTTTGATACCCAGAATGTCAGTTCCTTAGGGGAACTACAGAATTTAATTTTTCAGATGAATACAGGAAAAAAAATGTAGCTCCTATGGCTTGAGATACTATGGGCCACTGTGCATTTTCTTTTTTCCATTAATTTTTTCCCATGTCCTCGTGATTTTTCGCCTCACCTCAAAAGACTCTAATGTCAAGTTTTGACAGGTGGACTCGAGCCGCCCAATCATTTTGTTGAGGCGGCGGATTTGCTGGGTCAGATGGATCTCATTTTCCCTCAGCTTCTTCAGGTTCTGCTTTTCCTCCTTCTCCAGGAGCTGGAGCTGGAGCTGCTCCTCTTCCTTCAGGAACTGATGCATCTTCATATATTCAGACACAACAACTTGCTTACAAGTCTTTGTCTCCTCCTGCTATCACATGTGCAGAAAAATGCACAAGTACACACATGCACACCACACACACACACACACACACATACACATGTTAGCAACAGAAACAGTCCTATAACGTATAATTTATATTGATATGATGGATGAAGAGTAAAGTTTTGAAAGGTGTATATGTACCCAATAGTCAACAAGAATTAGGCTCTCTAATCTATAGAACTGTCATTTCTCGTGAACGAAACAAACAAAAGAAGTCAAAAGCGTGACATACAGTAATCAGCACTAATTGGAAATAAACTGAAATCAAAGAGGAAAAAATTTTGAAAATAACATTACAATTAATAGTAGGAAAATGCAAAAGTGAAATAAAGTTTAAAAGGAAAAAAATTATGAAAGGTGAATGTGTAGATTATTAAACAAATATTGGTTTTAAAAACAAACTTGGCATCGAATCACATACTAGAAATACATCACAAAAGTTGCTCTTAATTCTGAGATGTACGGCAGCCTGGTGGCACATGCATATAAAACTAGAACTTAGGAGGCAAAGGCAGAGGCAGGAGGATTAGATGTAAATCTGAGGTGAGTTTGTCCACACCCAGGACCAGTTTCCCAGATAGCCAGGACCATACAGCAGGACTCTGCCTCATAAAGCAAACAAACAAAAACTAATTCAATGTGTGCGATGAATGGTTGTCTACCACATTTGAAATCCTAGTACTTGAGTGGTTAAGACAGGGAAAAAAAAATCAAGAGTTTGAGGCTAACCTGGGCTACATAGGGAAAGGCTGTCTCAAGCAAAATTCCTCATTGTCTTCATTTATTAGGAGACTCAAATATTCACTTTGAGTGCACTAGCATGTGTGTGTGTGTGTGTGTGTGTGTGTGTGTGTGTGTGTGTGTCTGTGTGTGTGTGTGTGTCTGTTTGTATATATTTGTACTTGTATGTGGGTGTGTGTGTGTGTGTGTGTGTGTGTGCACAGTACATCTGTACAGACCATAGGACGACCTTGGGTGTAATCAATTTTCACCTTTGACTTGGTTTGAAGTAAGGTCTCGTTGCTGTGTTCGTCAGGCTAGCCCGCTGTTCAGCTTCTGGGGATTGTTGTATGTCTGTCCGCTATGTCTTGGTAGGGATCACAGGGGGCTACAAATTCTCGTCCTTCTGGCTTTTATGTGGGTTTTGAATATGCACACTCAGGTCATGAGGCTTGCATGGCAAGTGCTGTTACCCACTGAGCAGATTCCCCAGCCCTGATGTCTATACTGCCTGTGCCATACTAAACATTAATTCTTTGCTTTAACTGCTAGGCAGTTCAAGTCCATATCTGTGACTAACCTCGGGCATTTGTTGCAGCATGATTCAATCTACTATTTTGCCATTGTCCCATCCTTTTACTTCCTTTTAATTGACATGCAATTTTTTCCCCTGAGCATCTGAGAGACTCATTTTTAAAACTGGTTTCCATCCTATCTTGCAAATACATTGCTTGGATTTTAAAGAATACTAATTAGATCAATTATAATAGACTAGCCAAGGAAGATAAAGAAAAACAAATCTACTTGTGGTGAGTGAACGAGCCCAACTGTGAGATTCCCAAGTGAACACACAGTGATGGGCAGCCAAAGAGCAGTCAACTACCTATGAAAAGACTCAGAAATGGTCTTTTCCCCTTGACACATAACCAAGGTATCTCACCCACAAGATCAAACCCTAGACAGACGCTGACCTTATACAGCATCACTCGCTCCTTCTCGTGGTTCAGGATGGCCTGAGCTTCCTTCTTCTTCTTCCGTAAAATATTTATGATATCCTGGAGCTTTTCCTGCAATAGAAACAAACCCCTCAGCAAACAGGCAGGGTATCCAGTGGCAGAAAGCTGAGGAAAAACAGTCATTGGAAGACAACTGAGGATCTCAAAGAAAGGATCTCAAGAACCACACTACATGAAGATATATGCCCATGGCTGTCACCGACAGAGACCTGGATGAGAATTAGCGGATAAGACCAGTCCTGTGTTCTGAGGGTACTGCCGAGGATCCCAACTTACTTTGTGTTTCTCCTCAGTCTCACTTGTGAAATATGCCTTGTTCGTCCCATGACTCGGCGGTGAGAGATTAGTGACACTCTGCTCATCGTCAGAGAACACCCTACCGGGCCCTGGTGTTCTCCCACAGACGCCCTGCTCGTCCTCCTCGTTCTGCAGCCCCTGGGATCTCAGCTGTCTGCCAATATTAGCCAGTCTCCCCAGTCGCTCGTTGGCTTGGAAATGAGGGGCTCCCAAAGTCCTCCAGCACTCGGGACAAGATAAAGGTGTGTTGTGCTCCTCCCAGCTCTTGAGGAGGCACATCAGACAAAAGCTGTGCCCACACTCGGTGGTCACTGGACTGCTGAAATAATCCAAGCAGATGAAACAGGTCAGCTCTTCCCTGAGGTTCTCCATCAAATCTGCTGTGGACATTTTCTCATGGTTGGACATCAAGACAAGGCTACACTTCTAGTCTGGGATTACAGAAGTCCTCTTCAGTCACAGCTGGGTGATGATTGGGTGCTGTGTTGTTATCACAAGGAACTCTTGTTCTCCTCTGTGCCTGATTACACTGAATGATATGTGCTCTCCAGCACAAAGCCAATTGTGACTTAATGTGGAACTCCTGGGCTCTGACTCATCACCAACCCCAACCTTTTACTGAATGTTTTTCTATGCATGCCACATGCTAAATTTTGGGTATCTGATATAATTGGATTTTTCTTTTTTTAGCTAGTTCTTGTATGTAAATGGCATCATGAAACCATTTAAACACATGGGTTTGGGGTTCAGAAGATTAATTACTTAGTGTAAACCAGCACAAAAAAATGTAGTGGCCTCTGATTCATGAATAGAAAGTATGGTTGAAATCCTTCAGTAGACTGCACTTGACAAAACTAGTTGGGAAAGAAGAAAAGTACAACATACATTCTTTTCTCATTACACCCTTTTCTCTGTTTCACCAAAGCCTAAGCTTTCCACACCGTAATCAAGTACTCTGTGCATTTGTTTGATCGTATTCATCCTAATAAAGAACTATACCATGGAACTATTCCGTGACCTTAGGTACACAGTAAATTGACAGTTGTGCTTATCCTTCTGCCCTGAAAGACCATGAAGCTCACCCATCTTCCATAATGAAAAGTAGCTCAAGTGATATTCTTGAATATTACCTGAAGACACCATTTGCACCATGGAATGGATAGAAATAATTCTTTCTTGGTAGAAATATAATTTTATCTTGGTAGAAATATAATTTTGTCGCTTATTTTCAATTTCACCTTCTAGAAATGTTCAAACTAGTCATAAACCTCCTGACCCTCTTTTAATTCTTTCTTGGCAGAAACTGAGAGGGCAGACATTTTTCTTTTGATGTTTGGAAAAGTAAATGTATATACAGTACAGTGATTTATATACAATAACCTCTACAATTATGCCAAGTGCTATAAAGCCACAATGTCATGTGACCATGAGTCATTTTTGTCATACCCTCCTACTTCATACTATTTGCCAGAGAGTGTATCTTAAGCTCCATTCACTGCACCATACCATATTTATATTCCCTGTTGCTATCCAGCTTGACAACCTTCTGCAGATCTATATTACCAAAGTGACCCCATTAACCTTTTGTCCCCGACACTTAAGAACTGATCCTCTTTCCCCACTCATTTCTTATAGGCTCTTAGATGTTGTCTTATCTTCAACTTTGACAAGCCAAAACTAACCATTCCGAAGTCATCGATCCATCACTCCTTGGCCTACTGGCAGAGATCCAGGGTTAAGGCGTTGATTCAAATATTTTAAACATGTAGGATTTGCATGCCATTTTCAAAAATTAGGATCCGAATTTAAACACACCACCAAAGAGTTGTATTGTCCTCCACAAGAAGAGACATGGCATCAGTGAGGCATCACAAAAGCATGTGGCTTAGGATATTTCCAGACTGCTGTCTGGACACAGCCTCCTAATAACTGTTAGGAACTAGTCATAAGCAAAAGTCTTCCAACAAATAAATATACAATAACTCTAAAACTAAATGTCATCATAGGAAAAATGATATATGAAATGCCACCACTCTTCAGTGCAATTCATATCCCAACCTAGAAGGAATTGTAGAACAGGTCTCACAGTTGAGTTGGAGTACATCATAGAGCCCACATTCTGATTTGGAATTAGGAGACTGGCATCTTTCTATCTCCAATTCACACTAATGTTCTATTTTACTCTCTTCTTCCAAATAAAGATCTATCTTTTATAAGCTTCATAAAAGAATACTTGTGCCTTATTAATTTCTGACCAGGAGAAATTTTCCTACATATCAAGTGATAAAGAAATTTTCAAATAAGGGATGATGAATCATATCCATAATTCTAGCACTCAGGAGGCTGAACCATGATGATTGCTCATTACAAGCCAGCCTGGGCTATGGGGCAAGGTCTAAGCTAGACCAGCCTACAGCATAGTGAGAATCTATCTCAAAACATTAAAAACAAATGTTTTAAATGAACAAACAGAAGAGTCACATTACTACACAGTTGCAGTCTTCACTTGGCTGGAATAGGTCTTACAGCCAATTACCTTCTATAGATGAAAAAAAACGTTGAGGTTCCAATAAGTTGAGCTGAACCTCCATGTTTAGGTCAAATCAGGATGGGAAAACTGGGTCTCCTCTCCACAGTCTTTGGTCAGTATACTACACTACATCTTGCTTTTTGGCTTTAACACGAAAAATTCCGATTATCTCAAATAAATGAATTTTCTCTGATGGTATCAGAAGTAAGCAGACAGCTGTCATTAAGGCACGAGTTTTACATCCACTGGCACTACTCTTTCTTTCTTGGGAATACAGCCTTTATTATTACTTCTGTAGGGTTAGTCTGGGGATGAGCTAAATCCCCAGAGTGACCCAGCCCTCCTAAACTATTCTCCACAATCCCACAAGGCACTGTGTTGCCTGTCATGACTCCTAGAGCCAACACCTCAAGTATCTTCCTCTGCAGTCCTACCTCTGAGATGAGTTTGTGATGAAGTAATGCTAAGGGATATCCCATGGCGACAACTGTCCAACTGTCACCCAAATGTGGCTAAGGTTGGAACCGTAAAAATTTCACTGGGACCAGTGAGTGGAATGTAAAGTGAATAAGTAAAAAAAAAAAATGAAAATAAGTTTTTAAAAAGGGAAGAACTTCAAAAATTCAAAGATAATAATATAGAGGCCTTGCTTATTAAGGGTCATTGGGATAGATTAAGCTTATTTGGAAAATATCTTGTATGAAAAGCCTAGTTTTAAAAATATAACTGTCATTTCACATCAGAGTGGAAAAGATAGATTATTCAACTAATGGTTTAGGATAAGTGAGTGTAGCCATCTGGAAAGAGAAAGTTGAATCTCTATAAACAACTTCCCCAATGCGTGCTCCACATGAGACAGTGTGTGCCCATGTATATTCCTCTCCATTATGGATTTCAGATTACTTTGCATTGCTTTGTTCCCATATTGACTCATTTATTTTATATTGTTTTCTTTTATGTGTGTTTTGTTTTAGATCAGGACTCTGTAACCTTCTTCTACTTTTCAATAGTTTCTCCCAAGAAATCTGTATGACCTGGGAAGATAGGTATACAAACTAGGTATGCAAATTAAACATTTACTGATGATAAATCAGAACAAGATGTTTTTAAGCAATTCTTTGCAGTAATACAATTTTACCATTTATGGAAGATGAAAAAATTGCATATTAATGAAATAGATGTGCTCATTTATTTTTACTTTAGGGCTAAATCTTAACTGGATAGTTGACATTACAGAGCTAGAACATGTTCAATGTTTTTCATAATTTATCTATTTACTCAATTATTTATTTATTTATTTATTTATTCTGGTTTTTGTTTTAGTTTAGTTTGGTTTGGTTTGCTTTGTTTTGCTTTGCTTTGCTTTGCTTTGCTTTGCTTTGCTTTGCTTTGCTTTGCTTTACTTTGCTTTGGGAAGTGTTTGCTTGTTTGTTGTTAGAAACCACATGACCCAGGCTGTCTTGAAACTTGCTACATACCTTAAACTGACCTTGAGCTCTTGATCCTTCAACCTCACCTCTCAAGTTCTGGGATTATTAATGTGTACTACCATGCTCAGTCTGATCAGTATTTTGATTTTACAATCATCAATTCTGAAATAGTACAAAATGGGAGATACACATATGTTTAGGCCCTCTCAGAAATCATTGAAAATTCTGTCCTAATCTCAAACCCAAATATATTTAACGAGAACTAAGAAAATGGGTGCCCGTAAAGAGCTGTAACACAAGAGTGTAGGACATGTGGCTGTGACCTGGAAACTCAAGGAAACTAAAGTAAGAATGAACCATGTTTGAGGAAGAGCAACCCAGATGGTTGACTGGGCCTGGGGCACATTCTTGTCAGCCCAGCTTGTAGGATATGGAGATAGGGTGATATCTGCAACACCAGCTAGCCAGGGCTAACCACAAAACCTTGTCTCTCTCTCAAAAGAGGAAGAGGTGGAGAAGATGAAGAAGAACAAGAAGAGAGAACAAGGAATGGGAAAATTTTCTTGAGACTTAAAACATGTTTTATGGTTACAATCTAGGCTAAGACACAGATGTCAAGTTCACGCTGAAATCAACTTCCCCTTGTAGACTAGATGTCAGCTTGCTGGATCTACATACACCATCAGTCTCTCTTAAACATTAACTCTTATAGTGTGGTAACTCCCTATCTTAGCCCCATGTATGAGGCACCTGGGAAGGGAAAGGACAAGAGAGTGTGAATTGAATTGGCTGGAGGACTCAGATGATGGTTGTCTCAGTCAGGATTTCTACTCCTGCACAAACATCATGATCAAGAAGCAAACTAGGGAGGAAAAGGGTTGTTCAGTTTACACTTCTACACTGCTGCTCATCACCAAAGGAAGTCAGGATTGGAACTCAAGCAGGTCAGGAAGCAGGAGCTGATGCAGAGGCCATGAAGGGCTATTACTTACTGGCTTGCTTCCTCTGGCTTGCTCAGTTTGCTTTTTTATAGAACCCAAGACTACCAGCCCAGGGATGGCACCACTCACAATGGGCCTCCCCACTTGATCACTAATTGAGAAAATGCCTTACAGCTAGATCTCATGGAGGCATTTCCTCAAGGGAGGCTCCTTTCTCTGTGATAACTCCAGCTTGTGTCAAGTTGACACACAGAACCACTCAATACAACGGTGTTCAACTGGAGGTCACTGGAACTGTAAGCTGGAAACATTTAGACTAAGACTCCACCTAACTGAATCAAACCTCCAGCCCTTATCTTTAATCATAGTACTTCAGAGGCAGAGGCAGGTGGATCACTGAGAGTTTGAGGCCAGCCTGATCTAAAAAAAGGAGTTCCAGGACAGCCAGAGCTCTGTTACACAGGGAAGCCTTGTATCAAAAAACAACACACACACACACACACACACACAAATCCTCTGGAGGTGAACCCAGCACTCTAGTTTTAACAGGACCCAGTACTTTTGATGATTCTGGTGAACTATAAAGGTTGGAAGGCA